ACAGGGGATGGGTCAAACAAACGTTGGACTCTCACTCAGGAGATCGCTGTTAACGTTGAGTCGACGCTTGTTACGTAACATTGCGTATAAAGTCCGCTAGGGGCGGTTGTTGTTGTTTTTTTGCGCTAGCTGTGCTGTTGCGGTAACTATTTGAACACAAACCGTGGTCTCTTTTCTTCCCTTAACCAAGAAGTTTTGTTGCATAAACCTAACCAATCGTTCCACTAGGTCCTCCACGTGGCAGTGTGCGTCCCTGCAAGCGGGACACGAGGCTGATATGAAACGTTGCCGTTAGACTTACACCGTGGTTTCACAGAAGCATACTATGCTATGAGTATTTACTCCACGGGACAGTGTGTCACTCGTAATGCAACGAGAAAGGCTGGAAATCGATGCAAGTTCATCTTTTTCTTTTCTGTCCCTTCCATGAGATTCTGTTTGTGGCAAAGCACAAGGCGTACTCCCTCGAAACAAGGACAAGTGTCTTCCTTCTGCGAAACGTGTCCCCTCCCGCTGCAGGATCAAGTGGCTTCGATCGCTGACATGTTTGCGTGCGTTCGATTTTTAAGCACCGAGGGGCATTCTACTGTCTGCTCATCGGTATGCGTCGTCACACTGTGCGCGCATATGTTTCAGTATGTGGCTGTGAGTCAGAAATCAGAGGAGAAGCGGCTCGCTTTGCATTCCGTCTGCTGCCTCCGGTGCCTCTCTGGTCATCAGGGAGGAGGAGGAGGAGGAGGAGGAGAGCAGAGGAGGAAGGAGTGAGTCATGCTAGTTAGACTTTAATAAAAAACAACCGCCAGGGTCCACAGCCCGGATCATGGTGATGATGATGATGTGTTCTGGTGCTGTCGAGTCACTTGGTCACTGTGGAAATTGCGAGCCGTAGTTCAGCGTCTGGTATGAATTTCACAGACGCTCCCTTTTCATTTTCAATCCTCATCATCCTCCGGTAGAAATAAGAGCTCCTGTAATTGAACCTCTTGTACCGTCTGTGCTCCACTCTGCAGGTTAGTCCAGAGTGACACTAGCAAGCTGCACCAGTCGCTGGAAAACCTCTGCAGTAAGCTGTATTTACTAAACGTTATTTACCGAAACGCTTTCGCAGTACCACGACTAAATAGATTTTATTGATGTGACTCAGTGGACCTGAAAGGTTGCAATAAAACCTTGTTATCTCTTTGTATTTTCCATATCTTTGACAACCAGAGACTCTTGCTTTAGTCAGTATGTTGTAGTCCTTCATTTCATATCATTATCTTTTTCATAATATTCCCCCAACAACATTTGGCCCTGTGGTGCATCTCCAATGATCCCAAAATCTGCAATAAACTCTGCATTGTTTCTCAGCTCCATCTCCTTCCCTAGAATGCCTCTCAGGACTTTAACATGGTATACATTTCAGTGGTATCGGTCAGCCGTTCTTGTTGTAAATACACTTGGTGGTTCTTTAGTGGTTTTTGCGATGAAAGCACACATTTTCTTGACGAATCAGGATCCACAGAGCTGCAGGCTTCACCTAAAAGTTGTTGGAATTTAAAATTAGTTTCAACTCCTCATTGGAACTGGAATTAAAAAACAAAAAAAGGAAATTACAGTAAAGCAAAACTCATGACAACTTAACTTTTTGTTAGGATCCTGCAGTAGAAATAAGGCATGAGTTGACGGTGTACAGTAGGTTGTTGTTCTTGGTCCCCACGAGCAACGTTATAATATGTTCCATAAACTTTTTGCTGCCGAACAGATATCGCTTTAGCAGCTGCAGCACGCCGAGCTTGGAAAAAAACGGCTTCCAACCGTAAAAATGTCAAATGATTACGATGCAAAAGTCACATACAAAGACACACACACACAGACACACGGTGATGTCTTGCACAACAGAGCTCACACTGGATCACTGAGGGAGGTGTTGGGGCTGGTTTGGCGTTTGCATGACCGGGACTAAGAGTCTGTGTGCGCTCGCTGCATGACAAAGACAGCAAATACTGCGTGAACCTAATACCATCAATCATATTTTGTATCATAAGAACATTAATTGATCTTTAAGTAAAAATGTTGTGATGAAACGAAGCGGGTCTCTGCTGCAGTGGCACGGCTGCACAGCGGTTTTAAACATGATCTCCACAGACAGAGTGGCCTTTTCCGCTACGAACACACTCATCACACACACACGCAGACAAAAGCATGTGCACACGATCACAAGCTACACGTAGAGACAATCACGCACTCATGCCAAGACAATGGCCTGCTAATCCAGGCCTGTGATTGGACGGGTACAGATTACCCAGAGGGCGCCAGCTGTCGGGGAGAGGCGAAGCCCAGTTTCCTCAGTATAAGCACACACAAACACACACAGACACACACACACACACACTGTCACTCACTAATGCTGAATTAACACGGAATGAGGCTGAAATGTTCACCGACATAGCAATAGCATGCGGCTACATCTTAAATCTCAGGCTCTCGTACATTTGTTAGTTTCCGTCACGCTCGCGCGGCCGAGCTGAAGCGTTCAGCTGCTGTCAACAGAGACCGTTTCTCACCGCTGTCAACAGATTGTAAAAATAGAAGTGGGAATTAATATGATGTTATTTGCTACCGGCCATCAAGCCCAGCCAGGTAGCCAAATGTTACAAATGCCTGGACGTGCATACGTGTGTTTTTATTCGTAGCCTCTGTTGTTTCAAGCCTTCCACCCTGCACACACTCTTCTCTTTGTCTAGCGGGTGTGAGAGAGTCCTCAAGTCCACATTTTAGGCCATTAAAGGTATTAAAGGTATCTTAAATGTATTCATGAGAAAGACATTTTTGTATCATTTAAGATGGCTTCTTTGTCCAGAATGAATGCAAAACATGTATTTGACATTCACTGACACTTGATGTTATGTATCACTGTATCGTTGTATTTTCATAAAGTCTCAATTGGGCTCTTCAGTCTGCTTCGACCAGTGTTTTATTTCTTAAATCAAAGCAGGCCACATTGTTTAACTTGGCTTCTTGAAGTCTCTGCTCTTACACCGTGATGCAGGCCAACCATCACTTTCCAACTGCCCCCCGCACACAATCACACACATACTGCACAGCTTTTATCCCTCTATCATGCTGCTCCCAGTGCAGCCACAGAGGGCCGAGCCGGGCCAAACCGAGCCGGTCCAACAATGCAGGCAGAGGGAGGAGACAGGAAGCGCTAACTGACACGCTGCTGAGCAGAGATAAGGGCAGATCCCACTAAATACTGGAGTCAAGGGAGAGAGAGAGATGGGAGGAAGGGAGAGGAAGAGGAGGAAATGAGGGGAGGGGGTTCGAGAGGGAAGAAGGAAAGGAGAGAGAGCAAAATGAGAAAAGAGAAAGGAGTGAGAGAGCATAAATACTAAAATGGTGAGAGAGGGAAACAGCCAAAAAGAGATTTACTTGCAGTGTGTTATTGAGACACAGAGGACTGAGAGGCTTTGCATTGGCCTAGATTCTCCTCTGTGTGTCTGTCCGTCTGTCAACACTGGCCCTGCTCTCTGGACACGACACTGACGTTATTCTCCGAGAGACCTGCAACATTTTCATAAACAGGGAGGGTCATAAAGTATTAGGACGGTGATAGGTTTATCATTGTCTTGGCTCCAACCACAAGGTTAAAGTGCTCTTTAAGTGCTGCTAAGGGCCACGCATGACATGTGGTTTCTACAAGTCGCATTATGTTTCAATTCACAGATAATTATTTTTCACTCATTTTGTAAAAGTTAAAAATAAATGAACACTCTTGTAGCTTGCAAACCATCACAGTGAAGTGCATTATTTTTGACAGAGAAAACAACAATGCAGTACCGACTTTCAAGAGTTTCAAGAGTCTGCTCCAACCAACCAATGGGTTTTCATACAAAGGATGGAAACCAACTGCCTGGACCTAGCAGAACAAATGCAGAGCAAAATATCTAAACTTTTAAAAACTGTGACTTGTATGTGTTAGAATGTCGAGGCTTTGTGTAAAAAAGGACAATGAACATCCTCAGACCAAAGCCGAAATAACAAAAATGTGTCACGGTGCTGCTACAGACTGCAGTGTTTAAAAATGTCTGATTTCCTACTTGATCATTAATTCCATCGCTCAGTCTCTAATGTTGTAAATGTTGAGTGTCTGGCAACGCTTTCCTGGGTAAACTGAGAAATCAGGAAGCAGTATAATACAGTATAAAAACAAACGAGCAAATGCAAACATATAGTTTTATGTTCCCAATATTTCCTGCAGGTGTTCTCTCGGTGAACATTAATCCCAGTTCCCCCTGCTGAGGACGTTGAGTGTTCATGCTCTTTGATTTGTGAAATAGAGTTCAGCCCGTTTGATTGGACCAGGGAGGGAATTTGTTTCCTGGATGGACGAGGTCCTGGAAACATGAACTGAATGTTTCTGATATGTGCAGAGGTGGAAAAGTGTTGCTTGTGAGGTCCAGCATAACTCTTTCTCTTGCCTTCATTTACCTTTTAGACATTTATCTTTCACTCCAGATTTACTTTTGTGTCATTGGTCTTTCTCTGCTTTGTTTTGCACGGATGAAGACTCCTTTTTGACAATTATTTGTTTAATAATCAGAAGTAGGCCTTGAGTTACAGAAGGCTGAGAACCCCTGCTGAACGTCACCACATTAGATGTTACGTGTTACGTTTTCTTGCTTTGCGACTCTTTTTGTTTCTTGATCATTGAGTTTTCTCTTTGCTGTTACTATTTGCTGCTGCAGCTGTGTATTTCCTAGCGGCGATCATTACAGTTTCCTTCTATCTTTTCTTATCTTGCAGTTGTTATTTGTTGAAAAGCAGTATGAGCCAGTAGTCGGTTTCATTTTCATTGAACTGCACATTAAAAAGGATCAAAACAGAAGATTCTTAGTTTTCAATCTTACGTTTTTAAACATACTGGGATTATTGCTTCGAATGAGCTTTTTGTATCTCCGCCGAGTACTGATTGCCATCAGTTTAAAACTCATGCACCGACCTGTTTTTGTCTGCAGGAACGACAGAGCGCGTGTGTCTGATCCAGGGGACGGTGGAGGCGCTGAACGGCGTCCACGACTTCATCGCTGAGAAGGTGAGGGAGATGCCTCAGAGCACCCAGAAGACAGAGCCGGTCAGCATCCTGCAGCCACAGACCACCGTCAACCCCGACCGCGTCAAACAGGTCAGTCCTGACTGTTTCCCTCTATTCTAACTCCAGGAAAACCCAGAGCAACTCAGGCTCTCCCTACACGTGTGTGTGTGTGTGTGTGTGTGTGTGTGTGTGTGTGTGTGTGTGTGTGTGTGTGTCTGTTAGTTGTTTGCGTGTGCCAGCTCTGCTTTCGGCTCAAGGGGTGTGTGAGGAAGAGGAGGGAGCGAAGTGTTTGCCTTCGGAGCGTCAAACCGTGCGCGTTGCTGTGGTCGAGCTGTGATTTTCTGTGTGAGTGAAACTGAATGAGGCGGGAAAAAAAAAAGAAGACAAACGGCATGCAGACGTATAAACAGATGAGGGGGGGGGGGGAGGAGTGAGAAATGAAGGGGAAAGGAGCATCAGGGAGATAAGAATGCAAAGAAAAGTAAAGAAGGAGAAAGGTCAAGACCGGAGAGAAAAGGAATAGAGAGTGTGGAGAGATGACATCCACGCAGACGGGATGCAGTGTGAACATATAAACTCCCCATGTGGTGTGAACTGTAGGGTGCCCCACACACACACACCTAGACATCCACCCGCCAACTGGGAATAGTTTCCCGCTGAGGGAGGAAGTGTGTCCTGATCACTCCGTCTCTCTCTCTTTGTAACAATCGGGCTCGTGCAGGAATTTCCTCTTCTTTCTGTTCGTTTTCGCGATTTGTTCTCTTCTGTTTGTACCCGTTGACGTTTTCTTATTTTTGCACTCCGCTCTCTTACCTAGATAAGAAAAAAAACATCTTGTTTTCGCATGCGACACATTGTCAAATGCAAGAAAACATTGTTTTTTTTTTTAATTGGACGAACATAAAGAAAACGCATGAATATTATAGAGTCACATTAGATCGTTACATGTTTCAGAGTCATTGTAATGTTTGGATTATTAAAGAAATACTATTGGTCCAATGATCCCAATCAAGACAATAAAAACTCTTGATGTATTGCATGAATTCAGATTCTGAATGGCTTTCATACTGCTCTTCGATGCTTTTTGATTTTAAAATCACATTTTACTTTGTTTAAATTCATTCAACAGAACCTTGATTTCACTTCTGCTGAAGGCCTTTTTTCTCTTACCGCCTAATTGTGGTTGCATCTCTCGAATTTGTACCTGTGAAGCTTTCTCATCCCCTCACGTGTTATTATATGGAAAGTAGCTGCTAATCATTAACCTAAAAACATGCTCAGAAAACCCCCCACGCGTCATGTTTCAGCTATTCACAAAGAAACTGACAGCAGAAACTTCCGAAGAATGATTTCACAAAGTTTGGTGTTTGCGTATAGAAACAGTTCACAGGAAGCTCACCCCGCTGCTGATTGTACAGCCAAATCTGAGCGCCAATACCAGCCTTGTAATGCGGGACAATTAGTGCAGCCATCGATTATGATCCGCTTAAGTGATTATCATCGTTCTCTCTTCATGATTGCTCCCTATTGATTAGTCAGGTCTGGCATTGTTTCCAGCTATTGACTGTTCAGGCTTGCCAGACGACGCAGTCGACCAGGGCTTGTGGGCACGCACACACACACACACACACACACACACACACACACACAGATAAGCCTACACATACTCACCCACACTCGACCCTCCGGCCCACACACACTCTGCAGAGTTGAACTCAAACAGGCTTGTTGAGGCTCATGCAGATAACAGTATTGTATTGTTTGCACAGACTGTATCTTGCTTGTTCTAATTGTAATGCTGGGATGGTGAAGGACTACTTATTCAATACATGCATGTGCACACCTGGATATCACACCTGTAGGTAATTGTTTAGCATCTCCTTGGGAATCCCGTTCATCCCTTAAGTGTTGGATGTGATGTTGTTGAGGCCAGGTCTCTGTGCACGTCTGTCAGGTTGGGTTTTTTCCCCACACCAAACTCAGGTTGTAGTTGCCATGCAACCAGTGGGGAGTCCAGGAAGTCACTGCTCAGAGAAAAGCAATACTGCAGCACATACACTCCCGTAACATGGCGAAGTGATGTGTGGGATGTCACAGTGGGAACATTTTCCCTCCTGTTAATATATTTGACAACACCAGTGTTACTGATGACACAGATATTCGTTGATAGCGGTTTATATCTGTAGAGTGCTGACTTTAGATACTCCTCTTACTTTTGTTTAGCCGAGGGTTGCGAGCTGTGCCTATGATTATGAAGATAATATTGTAATAACACTGAGGCTCAGTAGTCTGAACCAAAACAGCAAACTCTATTGCTCCCATTACAGGTTTACTCATTACGTTCTTACCTTTCACAATAAATGCCCTAAGACACAAATATGCTGCATCATTGCCTACCAGAGGGAATTTAAATTCATTTTCGCTAAGCGACAACGCAACGAAATAGCTCACACTTTGAACAAAACGAATGCTTAGCTTTGGGTTTAAATCGGAAGTATTAAGAAATAGGCGCTTTTGCTTTTGGCTTCGACCCCAAATCCTTCGCCATCGTCTTGACATTCAACTCTCGTGACGTGAAATCTGACGCTGTGACTCTTCTGCAGCTGAATGTGGCTGAAACTTTTATTATTGTATTGTCCATCGTCTAAGTATTGATGACGGCCTAGTGTTTTTTAAATTAGAGCAGAGTTTTATTTATTTGATGAGTGTGGGGCTGGCGGGCAAGAATAATGGGTTTATATCCGAACACCGCGTAACACTGTGACTCGACAAATCAGTTTATGTACAGATTTAACAGATGAGCAATAAGACTAGTTGTTTCTTTTCCTTTCTTAGTGCTAAGCTAACCAGCCGGTCGCAGTAGCTTCACATTTTAGTGTACAGGCATGAGACTGATGTCAATCTTTTCATTTAATTTTCCGCCCACAAGTGAATATGTGCAGATGTGCAAAATAAAAAGGGGGAAGACTCTCTTTTAACAAAACTAAAAGTAGCAGACCCGACATGTTTTCTCTGTTCATATCGTGTGCATCGTGAGCGTCTGAGCCCGAGGCTGACTGACAGTTGAGAAATACTGTTTTGGACGAGGCGAGCAGCCGCAGGGAGACAAGCAGGCTAATAGCTGCTGATATTTAGACACTTATAATAGAGGGCGAATCCCCCTGTCGCTCTTTAGGCTATTTATACCACGGCGGAGAGGCGACTAAATGGATTTGTGCAGCAATTTGAAGACACACAGATACACACATGTTCCCACACGCACACACAGAAAGAAAGCCCCAGACCAAAATAACAGATGCCCCGACCTTTCAAAGACAGTTCACTCAGCCGAGCATCGTTCACAACCCAAAGGACCTGATTTAAAGTTTTGTTAAGATGTCACATGCATTCTGAGGAAACAAGAATGTTTATAAAGTGATCCACGACTATATGAGCATGCTGTATTTGAGGTAATAGCGCATCAACATTTTTGCTCTCAATTGTGAAAAGATAAATAATAATATCATTGTGACAGTGTAATACAGTGTGAAATATGTTCCTTCTATCTTATGGCGAAATATAAGGAAAACATTATGATCATAAACATATTTAAATGCGCTACCTTAAAAAAGTAACTATTGTGTCTGAATTAAAAGTATTTTTTTCAAGTGCTTTTGTTTTCCGACAGACAATTTATTAGCACAGAATTATGGAAGAATATATGAGAAAAAACGACCAATGCAAAATATTTTTTTATTATAAACTGTACCGAATTAACAACTAAAAAAAGCAAAATGTACTTTGTTTGTAGTCACCACAAAGTGTAATCAGAGTACTGTAAGTAACACATTACTCCCAACACACTCGCTCAGTCACATATAGATTTAAGGTCAGTGGGCTGTGGGTAAGCTGAGAAGTCTTGGTATTTAAAAGCATGGCTGTCATTGTGGAAACCCACAAACACAAACTCACTTTGATCTGATGAATGGAGCTCTGTCATACACACAACAAGTGTGCCCATGAAAGATGAACTGGTGTTCTGTGCAGTGCGGCCGTCGATTGTCTGCTATTCTGGGGTTGTGGATAAAATGTCTTCCCCTTCTTCTTCTTCTTGTCAAGAGTGCGGCTGTTGTAGCATGTGGTGTTGGCCTCACTGGTTAACCCCAGGGAACTGGGCGAGAGAGAGAGAGAGAGAGAGAGAGAGAGAGAGAGAGAGAGAGAGAGTAGAGATGTTCAAAAGGGCACTTATAATGTTGAGGAAAAAGACGAAGAGAACTGGGAGAGGGTGTGGAGTTAAATGACATAGAGACAGAGAGGAGGACAAAAGCCAGAGAACAAGAGTCCGGGCTGAGTGGGTGACTGACAGCTGCCGGGCTGCCGGAGGACGCCGCCGCGCTTCAGGGCCGCATAACAGGACAGCGGAGCAGATTTATGGGCTGAATGAATTCTTCTACCGGGTCTAATGAGGGCTGACGTGACATATCGAAGAGAATTTATTGAGAGATTTCATCACTTTTATTGGTCTGTGGTTGCTTTTGTTTCTGCCCCTCCGAGAATGCTCTTGTATAACATCATCACATCACCGCAGCACGCTCTCATGTTACAGTTTTAATAAGATATTCATAGTTTGAGAAAGGTGATAAGTGCTCTCGCAAAGACAATTCGGTTGATGCACAAAATGCTGACAAATGATTTGTTGTGTTCATTGTTATTGTGATATAGTGACAGAAGCTTAAGCAGGAAATAGTCTGAAAAAACTAATTCAATATATCGTTTTCTTTTTATTTGCTTTTTTAGCAAATTTGGAAATGTTTTCAGATCCTCTAATGGCCACCAGATGCCGACTTTGTTTAAGCTAGTCTATAAAAATATAGTTATTTTTCACACAAAAAAATAGGGTGTATCTAATATTACTTAGATACACACGGGCGGGGCTACCTTGTGATTGACAGGTCACTATCACTGCGTTGTCCGGTCAGGGAGTTGTGTGTGTTCTCGTCTTTCAACTTTAACCCATTGAGAGTGTGTTTTCACTTCATAAAAGTTAATTGTAACATTTTGGACGCCTTATTCAGCGTACTGTTCTTAGCTCCACCCTCTTGGGTCACCTC